TTTATTAACACGAATGTGAATATAAACAAAGTGGTGGCACGTGTTTCTGGTAAATGAAAGAATAAAGTTTAATTTTTTAGTGCAATCATGTAGGGTAAGTACAGGAGAGATGAACCACAATAATTTTAATTGTATCAACATAAAAATTGATATATTCTGATGTATAGTCCATCTCTCCCGGCTTCACCCTAAAACTCATGTTGACACCTTTGAAATGTGAATTGGACTTGCTATCGCGCTTTAAATTTAATTGAATTTTTAACTGTGCGAAATTTCATTTTGACTTAAAATTAAATATCGATTTTTGTGTAAGTGAGAAATGGGTTTGCTAATAATAAAAATTGTTGCCACTTGTGGTGCAAATTGTCAATTTCTGATTTCTAATTACTTCAGAAACAATTCTCTAATTTAAACTTGATGGAAGGTTGTTAGTGGCAGTAAACAGCAAACACTATGTATGGTAATAAGCTTCTGCTTCGTACTGATATCACTGATTTATTTAACGCCACTTGTCATTTTCGTTAATGTATTGATGAATCTCCAAACGATAAAAAATCACTCATTTAGTGGCATTCATGATAAGATTTATATGTCAGCAAATGAGACTCACTTAATTTGCTACTATTGAAAGCAGCTAATGAAATGACTAATCGATTAATGGAAAGTATAGCAAAACGTCAGGGAATTTACATTTTTATTTAGTTTTTTTTCCAAAAGGATCAAAGATATTTGTTGCCACAAGAAGCTTCAAACTTTGGGGTTTTATTTCAACTGGGACCAAACTCACATTACACATTATTATTGTATGCTTGTGAGTTCGGACAAAATAACACGTCGTATTATTTTTGCATTAAAAGCCCTCAAAAACAACACAAAATTAAAATTGATAGTCCTTTTTACACCGGCAAAATTATCCCGGTTTCGGATAATGAACCAGGCTGAATATGCATCGAAAATATGTTGTAAAAAGTATAAGGGGCTCGCGGCGTTGCCGCTCGCTCCCCACTTTCATACTTTTGATTCGCTTTTTTGTAATTTGGCTCCACAATTCCTAAATCAAAATTTGCCATAAAGGGATCAAATTTCATAAAATAGCATAAAACACTCGTTTTATAAGACGTTGAAACACTCATTTTTTGGCTACGCCTCTCGGTTTTTAAACTTAAGTCTAATCTTTTGAAGCTTGTTTTTTAATATCCTATTCCAAGACACATGAGTTGGGAAATTTTCTATGAATTGTTTTTTTTGTGTTTGGATCAAAATTTTGCATTAAAATCTTTAAGAAACAACAAAAAATAATATTTTTAATGACTGTCTACTAAGCAAGACTAAAATCAAGAGATTTCGCCGAAACAAGTAGATAAATCGTTTTTTTGTCAATTCTACACGATTTTGGGACGTTTTGAAGAGAGTAAATCGACGAAATTTAAGACATTTTGGCGGAAAAGTATGAAAATCGTCATTCTTACCAAAATAACGTTGTTTTAATCAATTTCAATGCATTTAGAGGTTTCAAAATTAAAAACTTTGGCAAAATATGCAAGAAAACGTTTGTTTTAAGTCAAAATAACGGCAATTCCGAGCATTTTTGACAAGATTTGGAGAAAAAGTGACCAATAACAAAAGATTTTGGCAAAAAAGCAAGACAATGATCATTTTTTGCACGTTTTGTTTAGAATAAACAATTTCGAAAAATTTTATTAATTTTGAAACAAAAAATCGACTCAAATCAAAAGACTTCGCTGAAACAAGTATGGAAATTGTTGTTTTTGATCAAAAAAATGTTATTTTCGTCAATTTATTTAGCGGAATTTGAAAAAAGAAATCGACTCAAAGTTAAAAACTTTTGGAAAAAAACGGTCGTTTCAAGTCAAAATAACATTCTTTTCAGCTAATTGTAAAATTTTTCAATTGTTTTAAAGTCGGGATCGACTAAATACAAAAGATTTTGGCCAAAAACCAAGAAAAATGATTATTTTAGGTGAAAACAACACATTTTTATAGTCAAAGTAACGTTATTTCACACTTTTTGTATTTTAATTTTTAATAAGTGTTTTAATTTGGTGTTGGCCAAATAACGAGTCCTTTGCGTGTGTTAAATCTCTCGAATTTAATAAAAAAACAATAAACCTCATGAAATTTCCATGAAATTGTGTTGAATTTTTTGATATCCAACCCTGGGTCTTTTGTTGTGTACAAAGAACAAAGCATGCAACCCGATGCGAAACTCTTATTTCCTGATATTTATCTTGCAAATAATTTTCTTGTTTAGTAGTTTTGTTGACATGGGATCTTGCAACAAAAAATACCACTCTGACACACACTATTAATGTCTCCAACATTCACAAAAAATAAAAAAGAAATTGCTCGTTTTGTGCCTGTAACAAAACAAATTGTTTCGATATTCGTTGTTGGGAAGTGATTTTGGGTGTGATAGTTTCCATAAAGCTCTTTAACCGGTATCAATCAGGAAGTTATTTAAATTTTGGGACAAAGTCGCTTTGATGGGTTCACTAAGGGCTGTTTGAAGTCTCGCTCGCAACCCAACTTAATCATTTTATAGACAACGAACAGAAGGAACTCAGCTGTAATTGGGTTATGACAATGGCAGATAAGTAATTGTAATAAATGCTCTTAATTTAATTTTTTACAAATAAAAATACTGTCTGGAATTTCACAGTCTTGAATTAGGCCATACGTGAGTTATGATTTAATTAAATATCCAAACTTGTAATGAAATTACTCGAGGTAATGTCGGAAGTAAACGAAATTATGGCGCAAGTTTGAGGCAGAAAAAAGATTCCAGTTTGTTTGACAGCCCGAAGGCTCGTTAATTTTGTAGTAAAAGTCTTATAGAATTAACGTCAACAAGAAGCACTAATTCGTTCCCAGCGTCGCATTTCAAAGACCCAAAATTCGGACGAAAAATGCGGAATTTTACTTGTTTCAGCGAAATCTCTTGACTTGAGTCAATTTTGCGTTCTAAAATTGGACCAAATTGTTTGCAATTGTTTGAAATAGCATTATCATAGCATAAAATTACAATTTTTTGGAAATAAACGGTGCTAAACCACTCAAATTTTTTTAAAAACAAGGTCATTTTGACTTGAAACGACCGTTTAGCTAAAATTTCTAGTTTTCAATCAATTTCGTGGCTCAATTCGCGTTAAATCAGTTGAAATAATCTAAAATAACGTGTTTTTTTTAGCAAAATCAACAATTTATACTTGTTGCTGCGCAATCTTGTGATATGAGTCGATTTTTTCTTTTGAAATCGGAGTAAATTTTTCGAAATTGCTTGTATAGCATATTATTCTAAACAAAACGTGCCAAAAAATGAGCACTTTCTTGCTTTCATTTTTAGTCAATTTCTGGATCTAAAACGTGTTAAAACATGTTGGGAATTAGATAAAAACAAAATTATTTGAATCTGAAACAACCGTTTTCTTGCTTATTAGTCAGTCATTAAAAATATGATTTTCTGTTATTTCTTCTAATGCAAAATTTTGATCCAAACTCGCAAAAAAACAATTCATAGAAAATTTCCTAACTCATGTGTCAACAAGTTTCAAAAAATTAGACCCGAAGGACAAATTTAAGTCTAAAAACCGAGTGGCGTATCCAAAAATAATTTGAAATTGACCAAACTAAAGTTTTTTTGATCAAAAACAACAATTTCCATACTTGTTTCAGCGAAGTCTTTTGATTTGAGCCGATTTTTTGTTTCAAAATTAATAAAATTTTTCGATATTGTTTATTCTGAACAAAACGTGCAAAAAATGATCATTGTCTTGCTTTTTTGCCAAAATCTTTTGTTTTTGGTCACTTTTTCTCCAAATCTTGTCAAAAATGCTCGGACTTGACTTAAAACGAACGTTTTCTTGCTTATTTTGCCAAAGTTTTTAATTTTGAAACCTCTAAATGAATTGAAATTGATTAAAACAACGTTATTTTGGCAGGAATGACGATTTTCCGCCAAAATCTCTTAAATTTCGTCGATTTACTCTCTTCAAAACATCCCAAAAACGTGTAGAATTGACAAAAAATATATTTTTTGTTTTTTAGATTTTAATGCAAAATTTTGATCCAAACTCACAAAAAAACATTTCATAGAATTTCATGTGTCTTGGAATAGTATACAGGGTGCGCCAGAACTCGCGCCCCAGAGAAAAATGCCATATAAGGTAAGATACCAGGAACATGGAAATAATGTTAAAAAAAAATTATCGAAAAATTTCGAAGTTATGAGGGTTTAAAGTTTGCACTTTGACTCTATTTATTTCTGTTGGAAAAATATTTTTTTAAGTTTTTTTGCTATAGGCTATTAAAAGAGGAATCAAGGAAGCTGTATCCTAAATTGTAACTCTGTTCAATGTCATTTGTGGCTTTTATTGGCAAAATTTTTGTCCCTTTACTAAATAATTGTAAAAAAAACATATACAAGATCATCAGTATCATTAAATAGATATAAAAAATGTCAAATGTCAAAACATGTCAAAATTTTTTTCATGCTCCTGGTATCTTACCTTACTTGAAAATTTTTTCTGGGGCGCGAGTTCTGGCGCACCCTATATTAAAAAACAAGCTTCAAAAGATTAGACTTAAAGGACGAATTTAAGTTTAAAAACCGAGTGGTGTAGCCAAAAAATGAGTGTTTCAACGTCTTATAAAACTAGTTTTTAATGCTTTTTTATGAAATTTGACCTCTTTATGCCATTTTTACTTTAATTGATTTAGGAATTGTGGAGGCAAATTACAAAAAAGCGAATTAAAAGTATGAAAAACCCAAAATTCGGACGAAAAATGTAATTTCTTGTCTCTTGAGAGGCACAACGACGGTTTAAGGCGTTGAAAATTGCTCGAGTTTGGTCAAATATTTGATTTCCGGTGGCCGTAATTGCGCCAACTTTTCCTCAGTTGGAAGTTTCATCAAGCTTATTGTAAATAAATAATGGTGGGATCAAAGTCGGGTTAAAAATACCCTCGCAATCAAGACTTACAGCTGTGTAAAAGCCACATGCGAAGCTCCCTTTTCGTACCGACCTCCAACAACACCAAGAGTGTAATATAGCCATCGTCTGTCTTCTTCACTTCATTGTTTCCTAATTGTAATACTCGTTGATTGAGAAAAGTCCCGTCGATTGGTGTCAGCTGAAAATAGCAGAAAATAACTTCACGACTGACTTTAAAAGGTTCATTAATGTCTTCTCATGTTGCAAGAGTTATTGCTAACATTCATCACAAGGCTTTTTCGGGGGAGTTGATGTTTTTGTTAATATTACTTTTTCATTTAGCTGAAACTTTGATCTGAAATTTTTTTTAGGAACGCTTCAACATTAACTGGTTTTCATCTCTGAAAGGACAATCTATTTTTACTCTTTAGTGAATTGCAAAACAGGATCTTAAGTTTCATCGCGTTTTATGTTTAAAATATTCAAGGAAATTGTTAAACTTGCAAACTTCTCATGATATAACAAAATTAAAATATTTACTGTTTTACACTACTCCAAAAAAATAAAGGAACAAAAAATTTTCCTAATTTTTTTGGTGATTTTTGAAAGGCTGTAACTCATCGAAAAATGATCGTATCTAGATTTAAATTAGGAAATTTTTTTGGAATAGTATAGTTTCAGAGGAAGCTATTTTTCTTGCATTCAAAAAATAGGTATCAGAAATGTTTTTACCGAAAGCGTCGTTAAAATTGCTTTTTCACGAATTTGAGTGGCAGTTGCTGAATAATTTCGAATTTCGTCAAGCACAAATTTACAGTTTTTCAGGTTGAGTTACTAAATGATTACACGGTGTTAAGAGTTATTTTAGTTTACCTGGTTCCCCCAGCCAACTTATAAATTCTAATTTTCAGGGAGTATCATACAACCTGATTTTTTTTCACTAAAAAATGAGAATAATTTTCTTATGCTAAGCTTCAACTGGCTTTAATCTCGGATAAGAAAAGTTGTTACTTTTTTATAATTTCATTTCACTCTTTAGTAAATTGCAAAATTATAAAAAAATTACAAAAACTGGATCTTTCAAAGTTCCCTAGCGTTTTATGTTTAAAATATTCAAGAAAATTATTAAACTTATCAAAACTTCTCCAAACATAACTAAATTAAAACATTTTGAGGCAGAGGAAGGCATTAGTATCATAAAAACATATCAGAAAAAAGTTTAATAAATTTTAAGTACTACATTCAAAGATTTTATATGTTGTTGTCAAAAAACTAGTTTTTTGTTTAATCAAACTTGAAAAAAACTTAAAAAAATAGGAGAATCCAAACACAATTACATAATTAATTTATTTTATAACGAACGAAAATACACGTTTCTAAATAATTCATGTGTAAAGCTTAAAAATTGTATCCTTTTTTTAGATATTCCAAAGAGAATTAATTACGACAAATATGGCTTTTTTATTTTCATTTGCACATTCGCTTCAAATTTAGATTTGCTTTTAATTGAAAACATGAGAGATCCCCGTTTGAACTGTTTTTAAATAATTTGAAATTTTATTTTTACTCAACTAATTCAAAGATCAAAGAAAATAGCTCGCTTTGTACCACCTTTGCGTGTTTTGTTGTGAAGAAAAAGCATTTTTACAACTTTTAAATAAGCTCATACAAAATCAAACAATTTCATAAAAACACAATAATATTTACCATAAACTAGTGTAAAAAGTGAAATAAGCACGCCTACATGATTAAAATCGCACACTGAAAACACACGTGTTTTTCAGTAAGAGCAAAGTTTCAGTCGTCGTCGTCGAGCACAAATCTGACAAGCCACTGAAAACGCCGCTGGAGGAAACTGCTATATTCGCCGATCCTGAAATTTAACAAGCGCATGCTTATGCCGCAGGTGGTTGAAACTGAACGACTAGATAGTTTAACTGTTTCCTAAATGTTAAGCCCTTGTTGTAAAAAATTTAATCCAAATTAATTTTGACCAACCTTGAATAGAATTATCATAAGTTCTTAAAAAAAATAAGACATTAATTAAAAAAAATAAATCAAAGTGTTCGATAATTTTCAATTTTCAGTTTGTTTACATAATTTCCACAGTGTTTAACTTTGAAAGCTGGTCAAAGCTCGATTTGACGATAACCAGACTTGGCTTTAACAAAATTTAATTACTCCTTGAAACAAACTCAATATTTACTTTTGCTAAGTCGTAAACATGTGCATTTATTGGATTATTTCAGTTGGTATCAAGTGGATTTAAGTTTAACTAAGTTAATAAATTTTGACAGGAAATCATTCGTTTCAGGTGATTAATTTGGAATGTGCTGGTTTAATCACCGATAACGTTTAATTATACTCGCAAGTTTTAAAAATAAATTAAACTAAACTTAACCACGATATAAATCAGTTTTACAACCTTGCTACTTTAAATAAATTGTGAAGTTGTTTGCTAAATATTTAAGTTATGAGCGTTTATGTTAAACCGAGAGATGGCTGTTTTGGTAATTAGAAACTTTTTCATCGAATTAGTTGAGCATGACACAAATCAGAGGTTACGGTGCGTGGTTACATGTCAATATGGCCAGATGTTCGTTGTGTAACAACTGTTTGGATGTGTTAACATTAACCCGGCACCTCCACCAGTTTTATTCGAGTTTGAAAAATAATCACGATTTTGTGTTCTCGACGACCTCCACAAATTACACACGAGACCAACATACCTTTTTTATTTAATTTATTGGGCTTCTATGTCGTTCACACTTTTAAGCGGAGCTTAATTAAGAACAGTGAGCCACATTTGTTTGTGGATGCGGTGGCAAAGCTGGAATTTTGCTTGGTTTGGATTAAAATTGGTTTTGTGAAGTAAAATGCGATGCAAAAAAACACAGTTTCAAATATGATTTTTCGATTTTAAGATTTTTAGTCTTGTTTCTTTTTTTAAGCTTCTATTTTTAGCGCTATTTCAGAAAATTATCGATTTTTTAGTTTTTTTCACCAAAAACTACATTTTTGTATTCCCAAATATCTGGTTTTGTTTTTCTTAGTTTTTTTTGTTGCACTGGTCTATTTTTGGTAGTGTTCAATTTTTTACATTTTGTTATTGTTATTATACAAATTTCTTAGTTCTTTCTAGTAATCTTGAATTTTTTAATGTGTTTGCTTTCTTCTTCTTTTTCTTGTTTTTACCTACTTTTCACATTTTCAGCAGTTACAAACATACTATTTTCAGAATTCAAAGAAACTGACAACTTTCCTAATTTTCTTGTCACTATTTCAGAAAATTTCAATTTTTGTTAATTTTGGCAGAATTTTATCTTCTTATATCTTTTTAATAAAAAACTGCAATTTTTTATTCTTAAATTTTTAGTATTTTATTTTCAAAACATATTTTGCATTTTTCAGGATGTTTCGTAGCTGTTATACAGGAGTACATTTTTTTTCTGAAATGCTAGTACATTTTAGCTGTTCTTAATTTTCTAGTTCCGTTTATTTGATTTTATTCTTTTTTTCTTTTCAAATTTACACAGAGCTGAAAAAAACTACTAACATTTTGAATTTTTTTACTTGTACGACTTTATTAGCTTTCGTAATAGAAAAACAACATTATTATTATTCTTAAATTTCTGGTTTTGTTTTATTTTTTGTTACAATTTTTTTAAGATTCCATAATAATTAGTTTTTTCAAAGTTTTGTTTTTGCTACTCTCTCTCAAAACATACATCATCTTTTCAAGATTTTTTTATTATTACTATGTATTTTCTTAGTTCTTACTTTTTACTTGTTTCTCTTTTTAAACTCCTAACTAGATTTTTTCACTTTGCTCCTTTTCACTTTTTTTAGTTTTTTTTATAAAAAACCTACATTTTTGTTTTCCCAAATATCTGGTTTTGTTTTTCTTAGATTTTTTTGTTTCACTGGTCTATTTTTGGAAGTGTTTAATTTTTTACATTTTGTTATTGTTATTATACAAATTTCTTAGTTCTTTCTAGTAATCTTAAATTTTGAATGTGTTTGCTCTCTTCTTTTTCTTGTTTTTTAATTACTTTTCAAATTTTCAGCAGTTCTGTTTATTCGTTTTTTATTCTTTTTTTTCAAATTCACACAGTGAATTTTTTCACTTTTTTTAAGTATAGTTATTTTTCAGTTTTGTATGAGTTTGTTATTGTTACTAGATTTATTGTACGACTTTATTAGCTTTCGTAATAAAAAAACAACAACATTATTATTATTTTTAAATTTTTTGTCCTGTTTTATTTTTTGTTACAACTTTTTTAAGATTTTATATTAATCAGTTTTTTCAAAGTTTTGTTTTCAAACAAAACATATAGCATCTTTTCAAGATTCTTTTATTATTATTATGTATTTGTTTAGTTCTTACTTTGAACCTGTTTCTCTTTTTAAACTCCTAACTAGATTATTTCACTTTTCTCCTTTTCACTGTTTCAAAAAAATCGTGTTTTTTCAGTTGTGTCAGAATTTGAAGAAAGATAAAATTTGTACTTGTGAAATTTAGTCATAAAAGTGAACACTTTTGTGATGTTTGCGCATAATATTGATTTTTTTCGTAGTGAGTGTTTGCAAGTGATGTTTTTCTGTCACTCAGTTAGGAATCGAAGACGCGTTATGGTGAAATAACATGCGACACAAAAATAGCCAATGTTCCACTAATGGAACTAACTGCGAACTTTTATCAAAATAAATTATCAATGTTGGGCTCAAAGTTAGGAAAGATATGAGACTGTGTTCTGAAAATGGCATTTTTCTTTTCTTTGATTGATAGAGATTGATGCTTGTTTGAGGAGTGTAACAAAAATAGCGGATTTTAATTAAGTGAAAAGATTTTAAGGTTTACGCTTATCAAGATAAATAATGACAAACATTACGGTTATTTTATTGATTCTCAGGCTCACAAATATTTGAAATTTCAATTTAGAAAAACGTAAAATCATGTTTCAGCATAGTTTTGATTTTGCAAATGTTTGTGTTGATTTGTATTCATTCCAACGTCGGAAAACATGGACACGCTTGAATTTGTAATGAAATTTTTAAGCCGTTTAAGTCGTGGCCAACGTTCCTGTTTTGGCTTTGCCAAATGAAGGTATTTTATTACGTTTTCCCTTGCTAATAGTAACATTAGAACTCGGGAACAAACAAAAAACAGCGTCGGTCTTAATCAGCATATCTCGTTTGCAGGCAGATGTTTCTAATGATACTGTTGTAATGAAAAAAAAAGGTATATGTATAGACCGATATCAGTTTTCACACACATTTATTTAATTAACGTTTATTTGCGAAAATAATTATTGTTTTATTATTTTAATAACAGTGTGTTTATCTGTACTCGACGTGGTATCATTAATTAAATAAAACCATCACAAAGTGTTTCCCGACAAAATATTTTATCCGCAAACGTCACAAAAGTGACCACTTTTATGACTATGACAAAAATTCTATTTTTGCGCCAAAGCGTTTTCACTTTTACCATGACATTATTAACATTTTTACAATTTCTGGAGAGGTAGTACATAGTAAATCATCAGCATTCGACATTTTGTACTACCAACTGCACTAGTTAAATTGACATACATTTTCAAAAATCTCAACACAAATTTCATTGATTTCATTACTTGCAAAGTGTTCTGATTACTTTGCTAATTATAGTATTGCTCTTTACTCGCCAAGACAACAGCATATGTTGTGGCTCAGCTGAATTATTTGCTTCACTGCGTTGTATAAAATAAACGTTTTACCCCTAATAACATAATATACTATTTTCCAACTAAAAATAGCACCAATTAATTTTTTCGCGTTATTTAATCAAATGTTTTGAACAATTTGCATGAAAATTCTTCGACGACTTGGCACGCTTTTAGTCATCGTTGTTTTCCCGATAATTGAAATGGACTTTATTCTGTTAGCTTCCAACACAATAAGCGAGTTTGTTCTTGTCGTGACTTTTGGCCACAAGTAGATCTAAATTTGGTTGGCAAGACTGGTCGAGGCGTGCCTCAGTAACGAGTTTTAATAATAAAAGCACTCATAAATTTATAATGTGACGAAGTAGGAAAGAAATCGCTAAAAATAGGTGGATTTTCAAATATTTATGAAATGCGAGTAAATTTATTTCAGTATCTGCTGAAATTAAAATATCGTATACTGAAAATTTGTGGCTTTAGTTTTAGGAAACGTATTTTCAAGCTCGAGTTAATTCAATTTTTCCAGAGATATGAAAAAATTTTTAAGGATTTAGATTACGTTTCGGTGTAATAATTTTTGTCTCGAGAATACGAAATGTTTACATTTTATAAGAAATATTTCGAGGATAATGTGAGTGCAATTTTCGTTCTTGTGTTATCAAATTTTACACGTGAGAAGAGTTATGCAACTACTTAGCGTTTATAAAGTGATATATTGCGACTGGAACTGAAACCCAATATAGTGTATCTAATTTCCCATTCAACTTTTTTTTAAAAATGTCTCTCCTAAATCACTCCAGTAGTTGGAAAGTCTCTCTCTAGACAAAAGACTGAACGCCTTTGTATTCATAAGGTGAGAAGGTGATTCGCATGAAAAATAATAGAATGCAGACTTGAAGTTTTTACATTTTCTGTTGTATTTTTTCTTATAAATTTTTGATTTGATTTTTATAGTCATATTTTTTTTCATTTAAGTTTCTAAAACCAAAATATTATTCTGTTTATAATAAACACACATGAAATTTTTCCTACGACTGGCAAATTTTCGAAAAAAAAAAATTAGAAACTTTGTTAATTGTTTTAATTTTTCTTACATGAAAGAATCTTCGGTACTACATTTTGTTATTGTTATTATACAAATTTCTTAGTTCTTTCTAGTAATCTTGAATTGTTTAATGGTTTCTTCTTCTTTTTCTTGTTTTTTTACTTACTTTTCAAATTTTCAGAAATTTCATGAATACTATTTTCAGAATTCAAAGAAACTGACAACTTTTCTACTTTTCCTAATTTTTTGCCACTATTTCAGAAAATGTCGAATTTTTTCAATTTTGGCAGGATTTTATGTTCTTATTCCTTTTTATAGAAAAACTGCAATTTTTTTATTCTTAAATTTTTAGTATTTTATTTTCAAAAAATATTTTGCATTTTTCGGGATTTTTTTGTAGCTGTTATATAGGAGTACATTTTTTCTGGAATGGTAGTACATTTTAGCTGTTCTTAATTTTTTAGTTCTGTTTATTCGTTTTTTATTCTTTTTTTTTTTCAATTCACAGAGTAAATTTTTTTCACTTTTTTTAAGTATAGTTATTTTTCAGTTTTGTAAGAGTTTGCTATTGTTACTAGATTTATTGTACGGCTTTATTAGCTTTTCTACAACATTATTATTATTTTTAAATTTCTGGTTCAGTTTTATTTTTTGTTACAACTTTTTTAAGATTTTATATTAATCATTTTTTTCAATGTTTTGTTTTTGCTACTATCTCAAAATATATAACATCTTTTCAAGATTTTTTTATTATTATTATGTATTTTTTAGTTATTACTTTTTACTTTTTTCTCTTTTTAAACTCCTAACTAATTTTTTTCACTTTTCTCCTTTTCACATTTTAGGAAAATCTCTCTCTAGACAAAAGACTGAACTAAATTCATAAGGTGAGAAGGTGATTTTCATAAAAAATAATAGAATGCAGACTTGAAGTTTTTAAATTTTTTCTTGTATTTTTTCTTACAGTGATATAAATTTTTGATTTGATTTTTTTAGTCATAATTTTTTTTCATTTAAGTTTCTAAAACCAAAATATTGTTCTGCTTATAATAAACACAAGAAATTTTTCCTAAGACTGGCAAATTTTCTAAAATAAAAAAACAAAAACTTTGTTAATTGTTTTAATTGTCTTACATGTAAAAATCTACGGTACTTATACAATATATTACTTTCCTTATCCTATAAGGGGGACGCAGCACGAAACAATTGGTAAAAATCGGTCGCACTGTTCGGCCCCAAAGACCAAAAATCGTATAATTTTGGTTAAAGATCCCACAAATGACTTATGAAACGGGTTTTTTAAGATATTTTTTCTATTTTGCGCGTTTTAGGCACTTTTTAACATAAAAGTCAATTTTTAAAAATTTAGGAACTTTTGCTCTAATAAGGTTGTGGTTGGTTATAAATGTTTGTAACTTCAATTTTCAAAGTGTCAAGTCGTAAGTACTTTTCAAAATTTTGTTGAATTAACAATGAATGCCGCAAATATTTCATGAAAAAAAAAGAAATCGCTCAGAACGCCGCTGAAAATCACCATTACCAACCTCTAGAAAGTAAATTGTACTAGGCTATTTCAGCACCCAAATTTGTGTTGAAATTGCATCGGTCCTCCAAACGCAAAATAGAAAAAATATTTTGTAATTACAAAGTTGTGGCAACACAACAACACAAAAAGTGAATTGCACACAATAAAATATTAGTAAAAGCCCGGAACAAGTCATAAAGTCGGATAGTATTCTTTTGTAGTTGCTCTAGTCGACATAAATTTTATTAGAAAACTTTTCGACCCAGAACTGAAATTAAAACACTTTTAAATCTGTATTAAAATTTATTTTTGAAAGATGCAAGCTCCAGCTTTGGGCGCTGTGGCGAAAAGCACCGAACCGATTTGTTCCGGTGGCAAATGCGAATAGAATTTCTCCTTCAACATGTTCATGTAAGTGTCAACCTTCTCTGGGGCCACTAAGGCCACGATGCATCCGCCCCATCCGGCACCGGTTAAACGAGCTCCATAGGTCAGTTCCCTTGATAATTCCACTAACCTGTCCAGTTGAGGATGACTACATTCGTAGAGGTCTCGCAAACTTTCGTGACTTTTGCTCATGAGGAGGCCGAGGTTTGGGAGGGTTGTGGCGTCGGCGGGGCCGGTGCAGAGCGTGGCCCATTGCTGCACGTTGTGAGCCTCTGAAATGAATTTTTTTATAAAATTTGGAAAAAAAAAACAAAAAGACAAAACAATGCAAAAAATATCACAAAATCTCGGAATTACAGAATATTTTGCACTTGAAAACGTCTGGATTTTTTATAATCTTACGACAAATTGAAGAATTCGAAAACAAATCATGGAAATTTTGACAGTGTAAAAATGTCGACCGACATTAAAAAAATCATATAAGATTTCAAACGTTGCTGAAGCTCAAGGCTTCTGGATATTTTAAAAACTGTTTGCGCAGATTGTAAAAATTTTTTTTTTTACTAAAACTGAAACTTAATTCAATTCATTATCCCTTATTACTTTTTTAGAATTCCTAGTTTTCTGAATTTTATCTCAACTTTGTAGTGCATGATCTTTTTCTGTTAAAAAATTTGAAAAAAATAGTGATAATTGTTTTTATGTTTTGGGTTTTTTAAATATCTTAGCAATAATCATTAATTCCAAAATAACACTTTAAAGAATCTCCAATTTTTTCGGAATGGAGATATTATTACGCTTTAAAGAACGCCAAAATAAGTAAAATTGTTTTACTTTTAAATAATATTAACAAAAAATTTCCTACAATCAAAAGTAATAGCAAAAATAAGTGTAACAATGATATTTACAAATAAACGTTAAAATCTAGGAAAGTTCATGTTTCATCGTTTCTCCACTTTTCTCCACGCATTTTTTCGATTTATGATTCTGTTCTTTTCATTTTTTTTTCTTTTTAAAAAATATTCCATACTGCAGTTTTGTTTTTTATTTGTGCTTATCTTGGTGCTGAATAAATCAAAATTTAATGTGTTCAGCAAGTTTAAAGTCGCAGTTTTAGCAGAATCTTTTTTCTTTTTTCAGTTTTTTCAGAAGAATAGTATTAGGTATTTTTTCAATTTTTAAATTTTTGGTTTTGTTTCACAATAACAAAGTTCTAATTTTCTTTGTTTTAGGTAAAAATTGTTTTTTTTTTCATATTGAGTGTTTGCAAATCGACCCTCCCAACAAAAACTATAGTAACTTAAAAATTACAGTTTTGAGAAGAATTGCATTAAATCTTAGATTGTTAATAAAAAATCAAGAAACTGTTTAATATTAGTGAAAATTGCTAAGGGTCTAAACTTTGGTAATAATATTGTTTATTTAAAGAAATTTTTTGTCATTGTTTGGGTATTTTGGGCCCTACATAAGACATCGTTTTATAGTTTTCGTTGGGAGATTCGAAATGATGTTTTTTGTGACTGAGTTGGGAATCGAAGACGCGTTATGCAACACAAAAAAACTTACAAACTTTTATCAAAAAAATTATTATCAGTTTAAACTCAAAATTGAAAAAGTAATGGAAGTTGGGAGTCAAAAAAACATGAAAATTTTATCAGTTTAGTTAAAAAAAAGATTTTTCTATTTTTAAAGCAAATTGCTCATGATTTATAAAATTGACTCAGTGTTCAAAAAAATAAAAAAATGCTTCATATTAAAAAAATTTATGTTGTAATTATTAGTTTTAATCAAAACGATCGGTTTTAACGTTCAATATTTACTCGTAAGATCTGTTACGTTAAAGGTCACGAAAATAAGTGACCTTGTTTTATTTAAAAAATAGCCAAAAAATTTAAAATAATTATTTTACACATAAACCTTAAATTACTTGCTCAAAGGAAAAAATAAGCTCATATTTCTTATACTTTCAAAAATTCATTTAAAAATATTTTTATTTTTAAGAGCTTTTTCATCATAAATTTTCTTTAAGACTCAAAAAAGTGCATAAAACGTTATTGGGTCAAGTTTAAAAAATTACGAATTTTTTTGAGTTTTTGAAAGTAAGCGCTAGTAAAATCGTAAAAATAGTCAATTTACCAAAAGTTTTTGATATTAAAAAAAAATTAATTCATTATTCCTCCACTTTTTTAGAATTTTCAGGTTTCTTAAAAAACTTTCAGTGTCATATCAACTTTGTAGTGTATAATTTTATTCTATTAGAAAAATTGAAAAAATAGTAATAAAATTTTTAAAATATCTTCGCAATCATTAATTTAAATAAAAACAAACACTTTTAAAACTCAACAACTCCGATTTTTTCAGAATTGGGGAATTACTATGTTGAAGAACACCAAAATAAGTCACTTGTTTTACTTTAAAAAAATTTTATCAAAATATCTTACAATCAAAAGTAATAGCAAAAATAGGTTTAACAATGATATTTAGAATTAAACATAAAATTTTTATAAATAAATAACTTTTCTTTAACATTTGAGATCTCAAAAAATCCATGTTTTATTGTTTTTCAAATTTTCTTCTTAGAAAGCAGTTTTTCGATTTATGATTCTGTTTCGTTCACTTTTCTTCTTTAAAAAAATTCTATTTTGCTACTGTTTTACGAAATGCCACAGTTTTGTTTTTTATTAGATCTTCTTGGTGCTGAATAAGTGAAAACTGTTTTCAATGAGTCAGTTTTAGCAAAATCTTTCTTTTTTCAGTTTCAGTTTTTCATTGTTTTTAGAAAAATAGTATTACGTATTTTCGCTATTCTTAAACTTTGGTTTGTTTCATAATAAGAAAGTTGTAATTTTCTTTGTTTTAGATAAAAATTGTTGTAATCCTTAATTTTTACAGAGTCAAAAAAACATGAAAAGAATTTTTTATTTTTAAAGCAAATCGTTTAGAATTTACAAAATTGACTCAATGTGTTCCAAAAAATAACAAAAAAATGCTTGAAGTCAAAAATTTTTGTGTTTCAGTTTTCTCAGTAATCATTAATTTTAATCAAAACGATCTGTTTTAACATTTAATATCTAATTAAAATACTGTTACGTTAAAGGTCACCAAAATAAGTGAACTTGTTCAAAATAGACAAAAAATTAAATATAATAGCAAAAATAGATTTACCTAAAAATGATTTATTTACACATAAACGTTAAATTAGTTGTCCAAACGAAGAAATAAGCTCATATTTCTTACAATTTCAAAAAATTCATTTAAAAACCGGTATTTTTTTACGACCTCAATAATATTATCAATCAAAAATCAATTTTTAGGAGCTTTTTTATCATCAATTTTCTTAAATTTAAAACAAAATCGAACCCAATTTTTTTTTCAGCAAAAGAAAATGTTACTACCTCGTGTCGTCTCTAAGTTTACTTTTTTTAAAGCTTTTACTGTAATGGAATCCCAAATTTCAGTTTTCTTCTCAAGCTTTTTAATAAAACTGTTTTAAAAAAATAAGTGACTTAAAAATTCCACGACTAGAACCACCAGATTAAAACATAAAAGCCTGCAAAACGGCAGGAAATGGGACCTTCTCTGCTAATACACCGCCTGCAAAGTTTCTTGCAATAAAATTAGCCTTTGGGATCCATTAAAGGTGCGTTTCCTGAGTGGCCGCTTTGTTCAAAATAAACATTGCAAAAACCGTCCCACTTACCTCGAAAGACGTGGAGTGCCCTTTGTTTCAGCCTGAAACTCTGTATATGTCTGGTATTTTGCGTCAGCGACGTTTGGCTCAGTTGCTCGGAAGTAGTTTCAAGTTCTCGTATGATTTCCTCTTTCGTGTAGAGTTCCTCGGGTATTGTCTCTTGTACAATTGTTATCATCTGAGTCAAGTCGACTCCGAGAGCTTTTTGTAAATCACCGAGTCGTTTGATGTCGGGCCAATTCAAGCCGTGTTTTTTTCCTATTAGCTGAAATTTTACACATTTCAGTGCACATACACGATGGGTGTGGTGTATTTTTAAAACACAAGGGTGTCGGTGTAAATTTAGATGTAACGAAATTGACTTCGAGGGGGAATAAATTTTCTTGTTGAATGTTGCACCTGATGCCTGTTTACAAATTGTGAAATATTCATGCTGTTTAGCAACGTAACGAGATCAATGTGGGATTTTCGCGCAAATGTGTTTAGCTAAGTGATGGGAATTGTCGTCTAATCGATACGAAGGATTTGGGATGCGAGGAAGGGATCAATATTTTACTCTTGTTTGTTATTAATTGAAGTGAAAGTCATAATTGGATTACGTGACGATTATCTGGTCATTGATTTTCGGAAGGGTTTATAAACTATTTCGGACATTTTCACTGATGGAACTTTCGACACGTCAATTAATCGTCAGTTCTCACATGAAATCCGAGAGATTTTCAAGATAGAAGGGTCATCGGAAGGAAAGGCTCGAGAAAATTAACTTTTCCGGTGTAACGCCTCTGTTTTATTACTTTTGTCAATGTATCTAGTTTTGGACAAGACTCAAAAGTACAGATAAAAACAAAGAGATTGGAAACTTATTAAAAAACTTTGGAAAAAATACACGTGAATAAAGAGATTATTATTGCATACATACTGTACTGGTTTTATACATTTTTTATCAGTTTAGTGAAAAAAAGAAATTCTTCAGAATATTATGAAATTATTCAAAATGTTCATAAATAATTCGATCGGCATTAAAAAAAATCATATAAGATTTCAAACGTTACAGTAGCTCAAGTCTTCTTCAAGTTTTTATTATTTTAAAAATTGTCTGCGCAGATTCTGAATTGTTTTTTTTAAGTGAAACTGAAACTTAATTTAATTCATTATCCCTTGTCACTTTTTTAGAATTTTCAGGTTTCCTAAGATACTGACTTTTAAAAAAACTTTTAGTTTCAGCTGTACTTTGTAGTGTGATTTTTTTCTGTTAAAAAATTTGAATAGTGATATTTATTTCTATTTTTTTTTGTTTTGGGCATAAAAGCAATGTGGTTTTTAAAATATCAATTTCAATAAAAATGAACACTTTAAAGACTCAACATCTCCGATTTTCTCAGAATTGATATATTATTACGTTAAAGGAACACCAAAATAATTAAACTTGTTTTATTAAAAAAAAAAAATTAACAAATTTTGACAAAAATATCCCACAATCAAAAGTAATAACAAAAATAAGTTTATTAATCATATTTACAAATAAACATTAAATTAATTGTATAAGAAGTTTTATTGTATAAGAAATGTTATTTTTCAAAATCTCAAAAACTTCATGTTTTTTCCAATTTTCTTCTTAAAGCATTTCTTCGATTTGTGATTGTTTCTTCTCATTTTTCTTCTTATTAAAAAAAATATATTTTGCTGAATAAGTCACAACTTTATGTTTAACAAGTTTTGAGTCTAGCAGAATTTTCTTTCTTTTTTCAGTTTCAGTTTTTCAGTTTTTTTTCAGAAGAATAGTATTACGTATTTTCGCAATTTTTTAATTTTTGTTTTTTCACAATAACAAAGTTGTAATTTTCTTTGTTTTTAGATAAAAATTGTTTTTTTGCATAAAAAAATTATCCAAATGTTCATAAATAATTCGACCGTCATTAAAAAAATCATATAATCTTCTTCAAGATTTTGATATTTTACAAATTGTCTGAATTGCCTTTTTAACTGAAACTGAAACTTAATTTAATTCATTATCCCTTGTCACTTTTTTAGAATTTTTAGGTTTCCTAAGATGCTTTTTCTTAAAAACTTTGAGTTTCATCTCAACTTTCTAGTGTATGATTTTTTTCTGTTGAAAAAATTTTAAAAAATAGTGATATTTTTTTTACGTTTTGGACATAAAAGCAATGCAGTTTTTAAAGTATCTTAGCAATCATTAATTTCAATAAAACCGAATACTTTAAGACTCAACATCTCCGATTTTTTCAGAATTGAGATATTATTACGTAAAAGAACACCAAAATAAGTAAACTTGTTTTACTTTAAAAAAAATGTTGACAAAAGTATCCCACAATCATTTTTGATTCTGTTTCTTCTTACTTTTCTTCTTTTTAAAGAAATTATTCTATTTTGCTACTGTTTACGTACGTACGTACGTTTCGAACAAATAAAAAACAGATAATTACTCCGAGATTGGAAACTTATTAAAAAACTTTGGAAGAAATGGAAAAAAGTACATGTAAACAAAACTATTACATCCTATTTTACCAATTTTATAAATTTTTAACTAAAGTTTTTCAATTTCATTCAAAATTGAAAAGCCGAAAAATGTCATACATATAATATAACATTTCAGGTTGGAAAATGGCCATTTTCAAACCCCAAGGTCGTGGAATTTGTGGTCACATCTCGTGATAGGGAACTAATTTATAAAAAATTAAGAAGGTTACAAAACTATCAAGTGTCAAAAATTCAATTTGTTTGGATAACAACTATGACAATACAACTTTGACAGAAAAGCAAATTGAAGCACTTCAATCGGTATGTAATCTACTATTTATTTTATGTTTTTTTACTGAATCAAACGTTATCAATTTGTCACGAAATTCGGAAACTTTTTGTTACTTTTTCCTCATAAAACCGTGATTTATTTTTCACAGTTTTCTGCATTTCATTCCGGTTAAAACCTGTAAATAATTCTCGAGCTGATGCACTTGTTATTTATCGTGCTGTTAGAATCTATACGAGGCCGTTATAGTTCCAATAACATATAAAATAGGTCAGATGGCAGTTTGCTCCACATCTATGCACCAACTTAGCAAGCTTTATATCAAGATAATAGACTTTGCGTTGTCGGAGTGTGCATAACTTATTTCTGAGTAATAGAAGATGTTAGCAGCACAAGGTGGAGCATCAACAAATTCCCTCTAAAAGCTTGCACGATTTTTCGCTGCATGTAAAGCTTTCAACGGAAAATCGATCGCTTTCTCGAAATTATTTTAACAAGATTTTGCCTTAGAGTAGTGTACATATACAGGGTGTGCCAGAACTCGCGCCCCAGAGAAAAATTTCAAGCAAGACAAGACACCAGAATCATTAAAAAAATGTTTAAAAAATTCAGTCAAAAAATTTTCACATTTATTATTTGACATTTCCTTATGTCTATTTAATGATACTGATGATCTTGTATACGTTTTTTTTTACAATTAAAAAGTACAAAAATTTTGCGAATAAAAGCCAAAAATAACATTAAACAAAGTTACAATTTAGGATACAGCTTCCTTGTTATGCACCACAAAAAAACTTACAAAATTTTATCAAAAAAAATTATTATCAGTTTAAACCCAAAGTTGAAAAAGTAATGGAAGTTGGGAGAGTCAAAAAAACATGAAAATTTTATCAGTTAAGTTAAAAAAACGATTTTTCTATTTTTAAAGCAAATAGCCCAGAATTTACAAAATTGACTCAGTGTTCAAAAAAATATAATGCTTCATATTAAAAAATTTTATGTTGTATTTATTAGTTTTAATCAAAACGATCAGTTTTAACGTTCAATATTTAATTAATATCTGTTACGTTAAAGGTCACCAAAATAAGTTTAAGTTTTACTTAAAAAATAGACAAAAAATTTAAAATAATTATTTTACACACAAACGTTAAATTACTTGCTCAAAGGAAGAAATAAGCTCATATTTCTTATAATTTCAAAAATTCATTTAAAAGCAGGAATGTTTTGACTACGTTAATAATAATAATCAAAAATCAATTTTTAAGAGCTTTTTATCATCAATTTTCTGAAAGACAAAAAAGTGCATAAAACATTATTGGGTCAAGTTTAAAAAATTACGAATTTTTTTTGAGTTTTTGAAGGTAAGCGCAAAATCGTAAAAATAGTCAATTTACCAAAAGTTTTTGATATTTAAAAAAAAATGTGTGCGTCAATTGTGAAATTTTTTTTTAACTGAAACTGAAACGTAATTTAATTCTTTATACCTCCACTTTTTAAGAATTGTCAGGTTTCTTAAAGTGCTAATTTTTAAAAAAATCATATCAACTTTGTAGTGTACCTATGAATTTTTTTATTAAAAAAATTGAAAAAATAGTGATAAAATTTTTAAAATATCTGAGCAATCATTAATTTCAATAAAAACGAACACTTTTAACACTCAACAACTCCGATTTTTTCAGAAGTGGGGAATTATTACGTTAAAGAACACCAAAATAAATCAACTTGTTTTACTTAAACAAAAATTTATAAAAATGTCTTACAATCAAAAGTAATACATACCAAAAATAGGTTTAACAATGATATTTAAAATTAAACGTAATTTTTTTATAAATGAATAACTTTTCTTTAAAATTTAAAATCTCAAACAGTTCATGTTTTATAGTTTTTCAAGTTTTTTCTTAGAAAGCATATTTCGATTTATGATTTTGTTTCGTCTCACTTTTCTTCTTTAAAAAAAATCTATTTTTCTAGTTTTACAAAAAGACACAGATTTGTTTTTTTATTAGATCTTCTTAGTGCTGAATAAGCCAAAACTTGATGTTTTCAAGAAGTTTTAATGATACTGATGATCTTGTATATCTTTTTTACAATTATTAAGTAAAGGTACAACAAATTTTTCAATAAAAGCCACAAATAACATTAAACACAGTTACAATTTAAGATACAGTTTCCTTGTTTCCTTTTCTAATAACATGTAGCAAAAAAACTTGGAAAATGATTTTTCCAACAGAGAGTGTAAAATTTAAACTCTCATAATTTCAAAATTTTTATAGATAAAATTTTTTTAACATTTTTTCCATGTATCTGGTATCTTACCTTATATGTCATTTTCCACTGGGGCGTGAGTTCTGGCGCACCCCTGTATTGTACTGTTTTCCCATTTATTTCCCAATTTAAATTTTCGGAAATTGCGGGAACTCCAATTTTGGGGCTAATGGACTAATTGTCCATTGTGATTCGTTTAAAACCATCCCAGGTTACGTCTACGTAGCGTTATTGTGTGTTCCACCCTCGATTCGCTACTAGTTTGTTTATTAAGGCAACGAGTGTCTTCAAGTGCACGAAGTAGCCATTCCAACTTCTGTGTTGTTTAATTAAGTTTCGGATTGCAATGCAACAAGTCCGCCGTTTGCAACCTGATTGCTTCCAATTTTCAATAATAAAACAAACAGTAACGAGGTAACGTTTACTTAATTGCGTTTTATTAAATTTTAAATGCGGTCAAGTCGTGCTAATTAAGCTAACAACTTTGTTGATGTTGCTAGTAGTAAAATTACCGTTTTATTGCTAACTAGCCACATTATACGGTAATACACTTTAGGTACACACGTTTCGTCATAATGAAGTGCAATCATGAATGTATTGTTAGTTGGTGGAAAAAGAAGGGAATTTTTTGTTTTGGAAATTCCAGTTATGGCACTCACTGCTTTATGGCATCTCAGATGTGAATATCTTCAATAGGTTCTTATTGCGGTAACGTGGGTTACTATAATTAAGCTACACAAAGCTGAGCTTAATTAGAAACTGAACTTATGCTTGACAATCAATTGTCAAAGCCAAACTGTTCAGAGGTTAATTAATTAATTAACGTAAATTTCTTTCTTGGAAAAGTTGGGTCTATTTTTTGCAATATAACTTTTGAAAAATTTTTGTTGAAATAAAAAAAACAATAAGAGCTAGAAACTTGAAATTTGGTATGTAAGTTACTTGTAGGAAGGGGACGTAGCACGAAACAATTGGTAAAAATCGGTCGCGCCGTTCGATAGCAAAAATTATTTAGAATCATGAAATATACCTTATTAAACAGTAAAATGTGATAAAATAATAATAATAAGGGTACCGAACTAAGAAAAAAACTGCACCCCAGATTCGAATCCGCGACAACTATCATCTATTTCGTGTGTAAACCGGCAGTTGGCACTAACGCAATTTTTTCCCAAATAAGTAGGATAAGGAAAGTCGTGTAATGTTCACACCAGATTTTTCAGAAAAGAATACAATTTTTATTAACATAACTGTTTTAATACGTTTTTTTTTAATTTTATTGAAAAATTAGACTTTTCCATTTTAGTAACTTAATTCTTCAGAATTTTTCGTGTGTTTTTTTCAGGAAAACTGAAAACTTCCCGTTATTATCTCTTTCTCTTATTGCGAATATAAATCAAAACTTTGAGAACTCTTGATCAGAAATCACTTTCAGCCACTTTCTGTTCTCTTATTTTGAATTAATCCCTTAAACCCTCCACGTTTAATCGCCAAATCTCTTTTTTCAGTTACCTCTCCATCGGTCAGATTTAAATCACGTTTCCGGTCCCAACACGCAATTCCGCTAGCTTCCAAATACCTCTGGGAATTCCCCCGGATTCGAAATAAAAATCGTTTGTAAATACCCCAACAAAGAACGTTTTTCAGCACATTAATTCACTTACCTGGGCCGCAAGTCGACATTCAACAACTCTGCAGTTAAAATCAGCCGTGGCAGCTTTGTTAAGTTTAGCTAAACTGTGGGCAATGACAAACACAGCTCCTGGAGGTAGGGTAATATCGGTCGATCGCAAGGGGGAGAATTCAATAAGTTTAGCACAACCTGAAAATATTGAGATAATTATTGGGTGGGTGGATTTTTATGAGGCGTTTACAACGAAATCAACCAGATTTATGGATTGGCACGAGCTAAAACATAATATAGAGGGTGCCAGAGAAAAATGCCAAGAAAAATGGAAAAAATATTGTAAAAATTCTGTCAAAAATTTTAAATTTTTATTTAATGTTACCGATAATCTTGTATACAGGGGGCGCCAGAACTCGCGCCCATGTAAGGTAAGATACCAGGAACAAAAACATTCCACCTATAAAAATTTCGACGTTATGCAATTAACTGGACTGAACAAAAATTTAATATTTGGAACACAAATACATTTACAATTTAATCCTATCTATTTTTATTGAAAATAGTAGATTACATATCGAGGTGAGAGACGCTTTATTACCAAGGCGAAATTTGATGACCAAAGTAACACCACTAAGATTTGTATACTATTTTATTCACAATTATCCTTCATAAAGATCAGAAAGCCAAGAAGAATTTACTAAATTTTGAAAAACATAACATATGACATTTCAGAGGTTGGGAAGTGGCCATTTCCCAACCTGAACCTGATATTTCATATCAATTGTTAAATGAAGTTGAAATGTCAAATTTCGTACTTTACTGAATAATTATGAAAAAACATACAGGCTGTGTCAGATAAAATACCAGGAACATGAAAAAAATGTTCAAAGTGCAAAATTTAAGCTCTCATAACTTCAAAATTTTTATAGATAAATAATTATAAAAAAAAAACATATACAAGATCATTAAATAAACATAAGAAATGTCAAATGTCAAAAAAAATGTCAAAATTTTTTTACAGATGGGATTTCTTAAACATTTTTCCATGTTACTTGAATTTTTTCTCTGGGGCGCGAGTTCTGACACAATCTGTAGAAACGGTTGAACTGGCTTTTTTGAGCCCAGTTGAAATACTTTAAGTCCTAGGAGTTGAAATGTGACGCAAATAAGAGATCATTCGAACCATTTCACACAATAAAATTACGATTTATTTATCAATAGTTACCGAATTACTTCTATCTCTATTAAAAAGCCTCTAAAAAGAAAATAACAAAATTATTAACCAATATTTACTGTGGTGTAACACAAGTCGCCTATATGTGCATGGAAAACAGATGTCAAAATAAAAAATAGCAAGATGACCGTTTAACCTCAAAAAGTAAAAAAAAGTCTAAATTTCCGTTTCATTGTTATCCGCTTAAAAATAAAATAGTATATATCTTTCATAATAGAAAGTCTTTTCTTAAGTCACTTCTATTCTTCAAGACATAATGTACCTACTATTTTTAAAGTATTGACGGTTTTTTGATTTTTCTTGTAATTCCAAAAGAAACTCGGTTAGTTATTTGAAAAATTGTCTTTTTTACTTTCCTTATCCTATAATTCTATCTATAAAAATTTCGAAGAGGACGTAGCACGAAACAATTAGTAAAAATCGGTCGCACCGTTCGGGGGATACAAATTATTTAGAATCATGAAATATACCTTATTAAACAATAAAATGTGATAAAACAATAATAATAATAACGGAGTATTTCGCGTGTGATCCGGTAGGTGGCACTAACGCAAAGGTTACATTAAATTATTGTCGTTATTAGAATGTTTTTTCAAATAAGTAGGATAAGGAAAGTCGTGTGATGTTCACACCAGATTTTTTAACTTTTTAAGCGCTGATTATACTAGAACCATTGGCATTATTGCAAAAACTCAAGAATTGTCGTAATCAGCATGAAACTATAAAAAACAGCATTTATAAAGTAAAAAATAGAAAGCTTGAAACGATCAAAGGTAAAAAAAAATGTTAAGTTTGTCTTAAGTTTTGTGACAGAAAGAAACTTATTCTCAAAATCTGTCAAGGCTAAAAAAAAATTAAAGCAATCATTTTTTGCTTAAATTCGACCAAAAAAATTGTCGTAGTGTTAAAAAGTTAAAAAAAAAAAATTGCGTTAAATTCACTTGGAGGCTTGTATTTTCGCCGGAATGATTATACCGAAGCTGTCAAAGTTCCAAATTCAATTAGTTAAGTAATACTCTAGCACCTAAATGGAGATTAAATTTAATTAAAAAGTTACCTGAAAAAAAAAACGACATGGAGAGCAATGTAAAGGATGACCTAACCGAGCAGATCTGGTCATAATTTTCACAAAGGAAATATTTTTTCGGCTTAATTCATAAGCACCATCTTGGCGTATAATTGAAACGGTTTATCGTGGAATATGAATTGTGAATTGGGGTCCGCAAAGCGGTTTAATGTACACAGCCATCATTCATTGACCATTTCACGGTCTATAGCTTGAAGCTTTGGGCATATCACCGAATCGGCAATTTGTTGAACGGCTTCAAAGCCTCATATGCCACCCCAATCATACAAAAAGCTCTCTCTGTGTACACACTTTTCTCTTTTGATCCCCCAATTAGAACCGGCTTTTTTTCAAATATATAAAAATTCATTGCGTTCAACTCTCTCATCCACGAGGAGTTATTACCGTAATTTGTCAGAAAACCTTGGTCACAACCCTCAAGAGGGTAGCTAAACCACCAAGAGCTATTGGCTTATTTGCTCGACGCTTTCGCCAATGTAATTATTTATCTTGATTTATTCGCACTGTCGATTTTGATAGTTTTAGTCTATATAATAAATTTGAAAATTAAGTACAAGAGCAGCGTAAATCTTGATTAAACGCATTAAACGAATCGGAAAAGTTTATTGCGAAATTTGCCAAAAGATCCCCCAGAGACGAACTAATTTAATACCACTGAAAGTGGTAATTAGGCGATTTGGGCCCAAGGGAAATAACGAATTTACTTAATATTCAGCGTGTTTTGCAATTAACTAGACTGAACAAAAATTTGATATTTGGAACACAAATACAAAATTTTGCAATTTTTATTGTAAATACTAGATTACATAACGAAGTGGAAGGTGCTTTATTACTAAGGCGAAATTTGATGAGCAAAGTAACGACCACTAAGGTTTGTATACTATTTTATTCACAATCATCCTCCATAAAGACCAGAAAACCAATAAAAATTAACCAAATTTTAAAATACATGATATATGACAGTTCAGAGTTTGGGAAGTGGGCATTTCCCAACCTGATATTTCGTATCAATTGTTAAATGAAGTTGAAATGTCATATTTTACAACTTTTCACATTCAAGGTAATTTGATTATAACTTTATGATTGTGAATAAAATAATTTTACAAGTTTTTTTGCTGCAGACTAGTCAAAAAATACACAAAAAAGCTGTATCCTGAATTGAAACTATGTTTAGTTTTTATTGACAAAGTTTTTATACCTTTATCGAATAATTATGAAAAAACATACAGGCTGTGTCAGATAAGATACCAGGAACATGAAAAAAATGTTCAAAGTGCAAAATTTAAGCTCTCATAACTTCGAAATTTTTATAGACAGAATTTTTTTAACATTTTTTCCATGTTCCTTGCATCTTAGGGCACGAATTCTGGCGTACACTGTATTTTATTTTATTTATTTATTTATTTATTTATTTTATTTATTTTTAAAATCTTTTTTTTTTCTTTTATGTAGTCTTATAGTTTTTTCATGCTGATTATAATAAACTTGACTTTTTGCAATAAAGTTAATGGTTCTGGCATAATCGGCATTTAAAAAGTTAAAAAAAAGTCATTTTTTTAAAACATTAAACGAGTTTCTTTCGGAATTACAAGAAAAATCAAAAAACCATGAAAGGACTTTCTGCTATGAATAATATATTATTCACATATACTATTTTATTTTCAATCAGATCACAATTTAAATTTAAACTCTGTTTACCCACTTTTTAAGGTTAAACGGCCATCTTGATATTTTTAATTTTGACATCTGTCATCCATACACGTGGGCGACTCGTGTTGTTTTCGCGGTAAATAAATATAATTTAATTAATAAATAATTCGTGTAACTATTGATAGATAAATCGTAATTTTACTGAGTGAAATGCTTCAAATGACCTCTTATTTGCGCCACTGTAGACATTTCAACTCCTAGGAATTGAAGTATTTCAACTCCGCTCAAAAAACACCCAGTTTAACCGTTTCTATAGAGATACACAAAGGCACAATTTTGTTAAACTGTTTTATATACAAAGGCTATGATCTAAGAATTACAACTGTCTACATTTTATTCAATTCAATCAATTTTTTTTTAAATAGGTTGACATTTTCAAAAAAAATTCATAACTCCAAACAAATCAAGATTTCAATCTGAAAACACTTTTAATAGCAATATTATTTATCGTACTGTCCATTTTCTTAAGCTTTATTGATTTTTTGCGTCAACTTTCAGTTTTGAAAAGTAAAGAAGCTTACAAAGTCGTAATTTTCTTATGCTAATTGCTTGAATTTGTTTGATTAAGTGCCAATTTGCAAGATGTTTAATCCCGTTTAATAGCAGAAGTTCGATCTTGGAATATCTCTCGAGTAATGAATTTGCAGTTACAACATCACACATAATCACTTTATTACAGAAATGCAAATTTTGTGTTCGCAATCAAAAAGATGCAGTTTCTATATCTCTTTGTAATCGAATTTTTTAAGTGGTTTAAAGTGAAAACAAACAAAACTTTAATTTGCACACTTTCCAGCAAAATGGGTAAACAAAACGTCGAATTGACACGCCGTCGTTTAATTAACGTTTTCCAAATCGCGCAAATTCCCGACAAGAATTTTTTTTCTTAAATTCGAGCAAATTGATCGATATCTAATCTTGTAGATTCCTGCAAAAAGTTAATATCCTGCCTCGGAATTGGCTAAGAAAATCTCCGATTTTATGCATTTTGACATCGACGAAGTTGCTTTTAATGAGATACGTGATCGTGTCATCCGGTAGTCACACACAGGCCAATATCGACAGAATTTCAACGAAAAATGGAATTTTATCGAGCTGAATAAAACGCAGATGCGACTTACAAAGCAGAGGTTTTAGTTTTTGCATTTAATTTTTAAAGTTTCCCAAAGCTATTAATCATTTGGGGATTGGTAGGAGGAAAATACGTGTTTTATGGTGGAAATATCGGAACTGTGACAATATTATCCCCTACGTAAAAATACTAAAAACTAAGACATTTATCACGTAATAGAGATATCGCAATAGATTTTAGTACATACAAAGGATTGGTTGAATTCGTCTCATAAATAATTCATAACTTAACACTATCAGGGATAACTTACCCTCAGTGGCTAAAAAAGCTATAGCTTGGTCCATTCCGCCTCCCTGAGTGCCGATATAACGTTCACATTCAGCACACAAATTCGCAATCTTCTCTTTGGACATTGGGAACTAAAATATTACGAGCAGCGTAAATATTCAAATAGCGCGAGTAATTTGCAGATAAGCAAGATGTAGCTTTTGTGTTCGTTGACACTACCGACACCCACCGTATTTTTTCTACTCTTTGCTTCGTCAAGACCAAATATATTATTTGAAATTGAGTGAAATTATTCCGCCATTGATCGGTTGTATAATTCACATAATTGAGGCAGTAGCTACACATTCCCCGGATTACGGCGGGTGCTGCACCACCCCGGACTCGATTCAACACAATTGTATTTAAATCCAATTAATTTCATTCCCGACACAAATTGGGTGCAAAATATAAATGATAGATTTTTGGATTAAGAAATCAAATTTTGCATAGGGGAAAGTGGGATTATTTTGATTTTTTGACACAGACCCTAAATTAAAATTTATTCAAACTTATCTTGTGAGTGAAGTCAGGTCATAATAATTTTTTGTTTTAAAAATGCAAAAATTCAATGAAACGCTTAAAAAACTATCTAATATTTGTGTTCTTTGTTCACAAATTTTTACTTTTTTTATTTTGTAAATTGCGGCAAAACTGTATCTCAATGATATATTTTGACGTAGACATATGTAAAATGTTCCGAGAAATCGACTGGCGTCAAGAAAACTGTAAAATTCGTTGTTACAGTTAAATTTATATTTTCGATTTTTTAGACTTTATCAGAAATTTTCTCAATCACTATTTAACGTAAAACAAGTTATTGGCAATAGACCACTCCGGGTGCCAAAAATCGACCAAAATCTCGACAAAAAAAAAATAACTTAAGAATTGATCCATATATTTTTACATTCGTAGAGGTTCTAAAGACTCAGAAAACGGCATAAAATGTTATTGCGTCAACTTTAAAAAATTACGAATTTTTTGAGTAATAATTGAGTAATAAAGTAATAAAGTAGAAGCTAGAAGCATAACTGTTGACCAAAAAATCAAAAATTTTTGATTCTTATGAACAATTAGTACTGTATGTAAAATTAACCGTAGAACACGCCTGCACAAACCGTTTTGATTTAGAACTCATAGTTTTTGAGACATGATTTTTTTTATAAAAAAAAAAAAACTAAAAATGGCTCTGTACCCGGAACCATAACCCAGAACGACTTCTAGTTTGCACCATTAAATAGATTATTTAAAGCAGATTTTAATAGTTTGTAGCTTTTTACTCTAAGTCTTATAGGTTCGTAGAAAACGCATTAAAACTTTCAGAAATTTGACCAAGTCAATATCTCGCAACAAATTTTTCATTTTTTTAATTTGAAAACTGCTGCCAAACTGTATCTCAATGATATAATATTAACCTAAGCATATGTGAAATGTTCCGGGGAATCGATTGGCGTCAAGAAAACTGCAAAATTCTTAGTAGTTTTGAAGTTATAGTCGAATTTATATTTTTGATATTTTTGACTTTATCAGAAATTTTCTCGATACCTATTTATCGTAGAACACTAACCTTTTTCTTATATGATAGAAAATTAAATTTTGTTTTTAATGATACTGAATATAAGAAGTTATCACCAACAAATCCGGAGTTATTGGCAATAGACCGCCAAATAGAATGCCAAAAATCGACCAAAATCGACAAAAATAAAAAAAATAACTTCAAAATTGATCCATATAACGTTTTTTACATTTCTGAAGGTATTTATTAAGGCACAAAAAAATTCATAAAACGTTATTGGGTCAAGTTTAAAAAATTACGAATTTTTTGAGTTTTTGAAGATGAGCGGTGTAAAATCGTAAAAAAAGTCAATGTATCTTAAGTACTAAACTTTTGCAAAAGGTTAAAATGCTCTACGATGAATAGTTTATTGTAAATTTTTGACCACTTTTTTCCTTTTTGTCATAAAATCGGCTTAAAAATTTACAAGCAACAAATCTGTATAATTTTTTGATAAGGTCCAACATAAGCCGTCCTCCCCTAGGTGCAGTGCATTTTTGCACATTTTCAGATTGCAAATATCGTTAAAGCACGTCTGTGTTGTGTGTACGAGTTGCAGTCTAAATTTAGTGTAAACTACAAAATTTCAAAGAGAATTTGTGTTTACTTACTACCCCTTTTGATGTCTTTAATGTGGCACAAAGGGGAGAATCGGTGGTTGTATGAAATTAGAAACCCGCAACAACATCATTAACCTGATAATAATTTGTCAGAAAAGCGATTAAAAAAGTTTTTCTTTGAAAAACGACTTTTCGTTTCAACCTTGACCGTAGCAAAGAGTAGAAAAAGGGGCACATGTGTTACTCACACTGTGTGCGTGTGCAGTTGCTAGGGCTGCAGCACTAACAAGAGCACTGCTGCTTGAAAGGCCTGCACTTGGAGGAATCTTGCCACTAACTACAATATTCATTCCTTTCAAATCGACGTCTTTAGGCAAAATATCAAAAATTCCCTTAATTCCACACAGGAAATATTGATGCCAGTCGGGTGCTCCGTCGCCGATTGATATCCTTGATGGGAAAAAACGGGTCGTAAATTGTTAAACAATCGATAAAATTAAATAAGGAACCGACTCTCCGAGTGAAAAATGTCACCCAAAAATGTTTATGTTTGTGTCTTCTTATCTAACATCTCCACTCTCAGCATCCACATTTATTTCCATTAGAAGATGAAAACATGTTATTGAAATGGGATTAAATCGCTGATTTATAAATTTGATAAATATTAAAACGCCCACACAAGTATTTTTATCCACGAAGGTAAACAAGTGTGGAATATTTTTTCTAATAAAATTATTATCTCGCGCAACCAAAATAAATTTAGGTTCGGTATAATAAAATAATAAATAATCGATAAGAAATAGGTTAACGTTTCTTTCATCTTCGTTGATTTCCTAGTGGAATAAGAACGTAAAATCAGAAAATACAATAATGAGCAGCCTTTTGCATAAACGAACAATACGTTGCTGCTGCTTGTGAGAAGCAATTCGCGTTTGAACCTGAATTTATGCAACGAGAGGCGAAAATGCGCCCAATTAAGTGGAAATATTTCACCTCAAGAGCGATTTTGTACCTAGACAATAAAACTATAAAATCGTCATAATCATTTGTTGACAATTGAGATAAAAAAATTATTTCACCTGAATTGAGTTCAAATTTTTGTTATTCGATTTTATCGATATCAAGTTGCGAAAGATTGACAAAAAATATAAGAAGGGGAGACCCGCCCACGTTGGTTCAACGTTTCAGTATAAAAGACATACTCAAAATGTTTCAAGTCGACTTGAAAATCCTGGTAGATTTTTTCAGCGTTGTGTAGTCGCAGGATTGTTTGTTTTGTTTCCACTGCAACAGCGAGTACAACATCCTGTTCTAAAGCCATTGGACACACTCCATAGCCGCAATAATCGATATGTTCGCCAATAAGGTTCACTCTGTATCAATAAAAAAATTCATACTTATTAATTTCATCAAAAACTCACCTTCCGGGTACTCGGACATAAAAATCCGGTTTTTTTTCATAATGGGAGACGAATATTTCCGCCACTTGTTTAAAACGATCGGTTTGCGGAAGTTCACGAATGGTGACGTTGCCGCTATTCTCACTGGGCATTGTTAAAACGGAGAAATTTTACGTCTATGTTGGAAAATATTTGTTTAGTGAATGATTAAATTACGCGATAATTGTGAGGAATTAGGTGGAATTTTATCATTTCCACGTAGACAACATAACCTAGCTTATCATCAAACAATTGTGAGCGAATTGTAAGTGGGGCTTCATCTGGCGGTCGGTAGCCGAAGCAAGACAGACGCGGAGTCGTGTTCTGCAACTGTCGTTAAAACAAATCGAATTTGGACTTCCGCTTTTAGTATCGGATAGATTTTTACACTTCATAGTAAATTTTGTGATTAAATTATTATCTAGTGACAAGTAGCGGAATTAAAGTTTTCCTTTCAAACGTTACAGAGAACTAAATTTAGTAACACGAATTGTTGTTCTACTTCTTGTTTTACTTTTACTCTTCTACACTAGGGAATGTTGTGGTATTCAAAAATTTTCATTTGTTTTTATTTCGTTAATTCCGGCTAAAGTATATTGAAAACAAGTTATGTTTTGTTCTAGTGCTATGTAAAATGTTCCGGGAAATCGATTGACGTCAAGAAAACTGCAAAATTTGTAATAGTTTTGAAGTTATAGACGTATTTAAATATTTGATATTTTAGACTTTATCAGAAAATTTCTCGATAACTATTTATCATAGAACACTGATCTTTTTGTATATGATAGAAAATTAAATTTTATTTCCAACCGTACCAAATATTAGAGGTTATCTCCAATAAGTCCGAAGTTAATAAGAATAGACCACTCCGGGTGCCAAAAATCGACCAAAATCTCGACAAAAATCCAAAAAAATTTTTACTAAAATTAATCCATTTAACGTTATTTTCACTTCTAGAGGTGCTAAAGACTCAAAAAAGTGCATAAAATGTTATTGAGGAAAGTTTAAAAAATTTCGAATTTTTTGAATTTTTGAAGATAAGCGGTAGTAAAATCATAGAAATTGTTAATTTGGGTGTTGACAAATTTTTACTTTTTTTTATTTTGTAAATTGCGGCAAAACTGAGTCTCAATGACATAATATTTTGACGTAAACCTATGTAAAATGTTCCGCGAAATCAATTGGTGTCAAGAAAACTGCAAAATTCGTAGTAGTTGTGAAGTTATAGTCGGATTTAAATTCTGGATATTTTTGACTTTATCAGAAATTTTCTCGAAACTATTCATCGTAAAGCACTGAACTTTTTAATATATGATAGAAAATTGAATTTTCTATCCAAGGTACCAAATATAAGAAGTTATCTCTAATAAATCCGGAGTTATTGCCATTAGACCGCTCCGGGTGCCAAAAATCGACCAAAATCTCTACAAAAATCAAAAAAAAATTAACTTTAAAATTGATCTATTTTACGTTTTTTACCTTTCTAGAGGTCTTAAGGACTCAAATAAGTGCATAAAACGCCATTGGGTCAAGATTCAAAAATTTTGAATTTTGAGTTTTTGAAGGTGAACGGTAGTAAAATCGTAAAAATAGTCAATTTACTAAAAATCGTAAAAACGGTTGAAATATGGTTTTCTAGACGTAAAATTACTTGCTGAACACGATGCAACTAGTTAAAATACTCTACGATGCATAGTTTTTGAGATATTGAGTAATAAAATTAAGAATAAGGCTAAAAGTATAAGCACTATATCAGATTTTGACCAAAAATCAACATTTTTTGATTCTTATGAAAAACGAGTACTATATGTAAAATTAACCAGAGAACACGCTGTTCAAACCGTTTTGACCTAGCACTCATAGTTTTTGAGATATGAATTTTTTTTGAAAAAACTAAAAATGGCTCTGTACCCGGAACCATTACCCGGAGCGACTTCCGGTTTGCGCCAGTAAATAGATAATTGAAAGCAAATTTTAATGGTTTTTAGCTTTTTGCACAGTGTTATAGTTTTGTAAAAAAATGCGTTTAAAACTTCAGCATTTGGCAAATTTTTCGGCTTCATCTGGCGGTCGGTAGCCAAAGCTAGACAGAGGAGGAGTCGAGTCCTGCAACTGTCGTTATTGCAAAATTTTAATTTTTTAATTTTGGACTTCCACTTCTAGTGCTACTGTACTTCTACTATCTTATAGATTTTTTATACTTTTTATAGTAAATTTTGTGGTTGAAATATCATCTAGTGACAAGTAGCGGAACTAAAATCAACGTTTTTGAACGTTACAGAGAACTAAACCTAATCGAATGGTTCCATTTCTAGCTTCACTCTTCTACACTAGGAAATGTCAACATTTTGAAAAATAGTTAAAAAAATATTGATTATAGTTCGGGTTTTCAAAATTATACATTCTTGTAATTAGAAGTAAAAACTTTTGATAGCTTTTATGGATCGATATCGTTCCTGGGTTGTAAATTTCGCTTAAAAACCCGTCCAGAGTGTAATATCTCGGCATAGATATTTCTTAGTGGCTCGAATGCGAGCGGCGGATGATGAATGAATCTCGTAAAATATCAAGAAACCATTTAAAAATCATAGCGTTGCGCGGTAGAATCCAATTTTAAACTGCGTGCAGAGTAAATCCCAACATCTTCCACGTGAGCGATGATGGAAGAAAGGTCAAAACTGGGACGACATTGCAAGCAAATTAACGTGAAGCGACGCGGAAAATATAGCGGGTCGGGTGCTTGTATCCATATTGTATGTAGTAACCGATTTCAGGGAGCTTTAGTAAATCCCCCGTTCGCGTTTTATCAGTGTAAGGGGGTTAGAACTGCTGTATTTGCAGAAACTGGATTTTTATTATGACTATAACTTCGTTACGCCACATTTTGATTCTTGGATTTAGTTGACATTTTATTCATGTCGATTGTTTCCGTGTCGTTATCTTCATGACCGCAGGAAATTGACGCAATTTCACTTGCGGTTATTTACATAAATGGCATTACGTTATTTGCTCACTGAGGGGCTATTATTAGGAATTTTCATTTTTCCATGTTGCACCTCGTGATGGTCATTATTTCAATTTTAGATATTTGTTATTTTTTTAAGAAGTAGACGTAAAATTACACACTGGACAGGATGCAATGGGTTAAAATGCTCTACGACAAGTAAAAACATTGCAGGAATAGGTCTATAAAAACAACAAAAAATCATTTATTTTATTTTTATTAAAAACTGATACAAATCGTTTAGAAATCGTTTTGATACATAGTTTTTGAGTTATGATTTTTTAATGTTAAACTAAAAATAGAACCATAACCAGGAGCAGATTTTGACAATTTTTACAATTTTGATAACTGTTAATTTTTAAACAACTATTACAGCGAAATTAAAGGAGCTATCGCAAAAAAATAAACACGTACAATTTTTATTTTTTTAATTTTGCAAATTTTGGATAGACTACATCCAAAAAGGTTAATGTTTTAAACCATACATGTAACTGTTTATTGATCGATTTCACTCAGTTTTTGAAATAAGTTGTATTTTTTTGACAAAAATATACTTTTTTTAAGTTTAAACCAAGGCAGCGAACAAAAAAATGAAAAAATGAAAAATAGGAAAAAAATTTACTACTGCAAAGAAAAAAGTAGGTACAAACTTTAAACAGTTAACAGTTTTCATTTGCAATTTTAAAAATAAAAAATGTAAAATTTTGTGAAAACTCAAATAGAACACCCTAGAAATAGAAAACCCTATTTTTTGCTTTTGTAACTGATAGATTACTAAATTGTTTACTTAAAAACATACTTTTAAATGTTTTAAGTCTCTTAGATGCAAAATCAATAAATATATAGGTGTTCCATTAAACATTTCAACCAACTTCTTAATTTTTTTTTATTTTTACAAACGCAAGACAATAAATGTTGTAGCCTTAATGTTTGTATCATTTTTTTGCAGTAACAAAAAAATTCTAGCTGTGTTAATTCTTGCGTAACAAATTTTTAGAAAGAGTATGACGACCACTGATTTCTGTAATTAGGGTGGCCCTGCTACAAGATATTTTCTCAATACCTATTTGTCGCAGAACAATGATATTTTTTGTATAAGATAAAAAATTTAATTTGCTTGCCAACGATAATAAACACAAAGGGGTTATTAGTAATAATTTTGGAGTTATTTGCAATAGACTACTCCGAACACCAAAAATTGACTAAAATTTTGACAAAAATCGAAAAATTGGAAACTTCAAAATTGATCTAAATTAAAAGTGCATAAAGCGTTGTAGTAATGATCTTGAGACTTACAAAAGTTTATGCAATAGGTTAAAATATTCTACAATAGTAGTTTTTGAGATCTTGAGATAGGATTCTAACAAAAAGATCAAATTTTTTTAATTTTTAATTTTTTGATTTTATATTTTTGTCTAAAAGAAATAAGGAAATTGTTCGAATATTACAGAAAACGCCTTAAGTCATAAATTTTTAAAGAAATTTTGAAAAGGTCTAAAAT